GTATTGGGAAAACATTGGCTTTAGTTTCATAGTATAGGATGTTTTAGAAAGTATATTAGAAAGAAACACGGTATTACCATTTTAAAGCAGTTTAGAAGCTTTGGAAAAATACATTTAAAGTTGCAAAAAAATGATTAATTTGAGTATTTTTGAATGAATGTAAAAATAAAGTAGTTATACCAATAGTGTTACAGTATCTGATTATAATTAAGGAATCAGTAACCACTATCATCAAGCCCAAGTTAGATTCTTGAACGTTGAAATTAAATATAAAAATATCTTACAGAAGAAATTTGAAAAAAAAAACAAAACTGATAAACGTTCCGTTTCCTTTTTGGACTTCATTCATTGTAAAAATTATGTTGAGAAACAAAGTAATAAAATTCTAACGAAAATGAAAGTAGTCCAGCCCGTTAAAGTTTATAGGTTAAATTTGTAAACCAGATAGCAATTTTCTTTTTAAAATGAACTAATGGATATTATTCACAATTTTTTAATTACACGTTGTGCAAGACTGATATATAAGAAAAGCTTTAGCTAGTGGCCTCAGATTTTAATATCACCTCGTGAATTGGATTTTTCGTCATATTTATTGTCCCCCTGTGGGTCAACGATAAGTTCACGAACTTCCAGCGCTAAAATCCAGGGGTTGATTCCTCGCGGTAGAAAGAGCGCATATACATGTAGACCACTGTGTAGTTTTACGCTAAAACAACCAACCAACCATATTTACTCACTAGTTAGAATAACTTCTAAAGTTTCTGGTTTCCCTTTCTAGTACATCCCAGTGGCTCAGCGGTAAGTTTGCAGACTTATTACGCTAAAAATCGGTTTTCAATACCCGTTATGGGCACAGCACATATTGTGTAGCTTTGTGCTTAACAAGAAAAAAAAAGCCTTTTCTAGTTTTAATTTTATAACTCTAGATATTGTAGGGGTAATTTAATAAGGGAAGAGTTTATCTTGTTTAAAATTTTGAATTCATCAAAATATATCGTTATCTTAAAGCTCGATAAAGAAGATTACACTGAAAACGTTTTCCTTTTGCCAGATTGCTCCAAATTTAAAGTTTTAGAATAAGCTCCGACTAATCAAACATAAAGTAAAATTACAAAGCATTTATCGAAGATTTAAAAACTGGTGATAATTTCAGAATAAATTTATAAACAAATTAGTCCATAGTTACATTAAAATATTTTGCATGGTCTTCTAAGAATACATAATAATCGAACATGGAAAAGTTTTTAGTTGAGCTTCTGTTCCTTTTTATGAAAGAATAAACTTTATAGTTTCAAATTCTCAAACAGCCTGAAATAATTCAAGATTTGATAAATATGTTTTCTGCGCCATCTTTGACACTGAAACTAATCCAGTCATGTTAATTTAATTTCGGAAAGATCTTTGTCAGGTAAAAGAAAATACAAGCTTTTACGTACAGCTAACAAAAAGTAAAACGTTTGACCATTTTGGCCCCCCAGTGGCACAGCGGTATGTCTGCGGACTTACAACGCTAGAAACCGGGTTTCGATACCCGTGGTGGGCAGAGCACAGATAGCCCATTGTGTAGCTTTGTGCTTAACTTCAAACAAACAAATAATTGACCATTTTAACATGTTCTCCAACATACATGAATTTATTAAGAGACTAACTAAATCTGTGTTTATTGAACTTAGAAACTTGCCACCCAGTAGTTTCATTTTGTTTTCAATGGAATACTTATCAGATTGATGTGGTTCAGTTCATTCAACACTCGCTCAGTGCAGCAGAGTTATTTATTTGTTATCACGAATAGAACTGGCGAAACAATATTCCAAAGCCACTGTCTTTGCTGTTTTTTATTTTCATTTCAATAGTATTATCCACAAAAAAACAACAAAAAAACATTATATTTTAGCACATTGGGGGTTATAATTCGATCCATGATTTTCGCAGATTTCATAAAGAACTTGAGAACTGCATGAGTTCCAAATGTGCTTACCAACAGTATTATAAATAACTATTTAATTAGACTTTATATCCCTCCTGTACCACAATTTGATGTGTCTGAACTACGTGTGTGTCTATCTTTGCTATATTAGGAAAGTCCATAGTTTTGAGTTGTTAGGAAACTTAAACAGGTTTTACAACCTGTTTTTCTTCATTTAGGTGCGTGTTTGAACCACATTTGAACATAATAAAGAATAAAAATGTCAAAGGCTAGTGATGTATAAATCTGAAAATGTAGTTTATTCTAGTGGTGAGATATATTTTTAAACGTTAAATATATTAATGTAACAAATAATGGAATGAAAAGTAAATAGCCTGTATAACGAAGGGAACATAGTTTACTTGGAAATGTATTGACAGTGATTAAATTGTGATGTTGAAATAAGAAAACTAAAACTAAAATAAAAGGCACAAATATGTATAACATAAACCTGAAGAAAAGAAAAAATAATAGCACAAAAACGTAAAAGGCTGAACTTGGCGTAAATAAAATCTGAGTGGAAAGTCCCGTAGTTTACTCTTAAAATGAGGGTATTGAACAGGAATGATAAGTGTGACATTACTGTCACACAGTGTTCAAAAGTTCAGAACTGGGTTTGAATTTCTAATTTAGGCAATTCTTAAAGTTTAGTAAAATAAAGGAAACATTTTATAATTATTTGCGTCAAAACTGTGCTAAGATGATAGCACAGATCCCTGAACCCATGACTGTAGAGGGGCGCTTTGAGAAAGTAATAAATGAAAAGCAAATGCTTGTTGTTGTTTTTTTAAATCTTGCCCAAAGCTACCCCAGGGCTACCTGCGCTAGCCGTCCCTAATTTAGCAGTGTAAGACTAGAGGGAAGGCAGCTAGTCATCACCACTCAACGCCAACTCTTGGGCTACTCTTTTACCAACGAATACTGGAATTGGTCGTCACTTTATAACGCCCCCACGGTAGAAAGGCCGAGCACGTTTAGTGGGCCGAATTCGAACCCGCAGATTGCGAGTCGTGCTCCCTAACCACCTGGCCATGGTTGGCCAAGCAAATGCTACTCCACAATATTTGTCGAGCTTTGGTATTGAATAATAAACTTCTGGAAAACGGCTTATACAAACAAAATATTTGCCTGAAATCCATTCTTATTTTCGTCCTTTAATATTCGTAATAAGCCTAGAAAAATGTAAAAATGTATACAACTTATATATTTGTTTACATACTTATTGACACACAGAGTAAAAATTAATATGAATTATTAGTTTATTGAACCTAACAAAATCTTTAATTATAGTACATATATAATTTAGACGAAAAATAAATTGGCCAATGGGAGAGGACAATATCCCTTCGTATATATTTACTTAATCAGGGAGCGCGGTAGCTATCCATATGCAGGGATGGATCCGGTTAAAAACGGCAGGCTGTATATTGTGTATGGTATCGCGTGAGCCAGGACGTCGGCAAAACCCAACTAAAGGGATAGAGACGAAAAACCCTTCATTAATTAAGTATAAAACTACTCTATAGTTCGGTTAACCTTCCTTGACGCCTAAAAAACGAGCCGCAAAAACATCCATTTTATTCTTCTTCTCCGTCAGTTGTAACTCGTAAACCACAGTATTTTTACGGAAAGTCTGCACACCAAAACACTTTACCACTTATTACTTTCATACCTAGAGCAGCAAGTGATTCACAATAGGTTAGTTACAGCCCAAAGTACAAATCACATTCTCTGATCATAAATCATTATGTGTTATATATGGATGTAGATAATCTACTGTATACTCCTTAACGCGCCGCACAGTATCCTGGTCATGACTTATCCTGTTTCAAGAAGTAACGTCTATAGATTATACTATGGCTCCCTATAGAATAGAACTGAATAAGACGGTGAAATGGTGCCTTCCACCTAGAAGTTACAGCCCCACTAGAAGCCAAGACTTCGACTTGTAAAAAGTGCAAAAACTAGTAACAAAAATTTTGTTTTAAAATTGTTCAGATGTAGGGATGGAAAAAGATCAGAAACTTGAGAGAATTTGGAATGGGAGGAAAATTTACATTACCCATTCTCGCATTCTTCCCATCCCAAATGCTCTCTAGTTTCTGTTCTTTTTCCATCCATACATCTGAACAATTGTAAAATTATTTTTTTTGTTACTAGTATTATTAAGAACTGCACATGGGAGATTTGGTTTTTAAAAAGATCTTCAAAGTTCTACTTATTAATGTGAATTAAAAAATATTATATTAGATATAAATGAGACCATAGAATACTGACTCTACAGATAAAGCAAACAGTTGCAGTTGATGATAATAGGAACAGTTTAGGTTTGTTGCCACAAAAAGCTGCAACAGACGTCCCTTAACTTGAATAGTAGATAAAGAAGCTAGTCAACAGCACCCACTATCAACATTTACACTACTCTATGTGAAATAGGATTTAACTTTCACTCCTCTAATGCACTCACGGACCCAAAGTGAGGTGCGCGATTTTTTTAGTGGGTGGGTGTCGATAACGGGACGGCTCGGCTCACTTAAAATAGTGTTTACACCTTTTCATGTTAAACAATGAACCATTTTGTGTTTTCTAGTTGAGTTCAACAAATCATATATTTTAAATTAAGTTCAAATTATAATTTTACCAAATATTTTTGATCATATAAAATACATACTTTGGTAAAGTTTAGTTTGACAAATTTCCATACTTTTGTACTGTGGGTTGACGTACATTCACACAGCTTCTAACTCTAATATTGTTAAATTGTGAAGACTCGAATATTTTATTGGCCTTTAGTGACTGAGCGGTTAAAAACAAGACGGAGACCTCACATTGATAAGTGATAATTTCTTCATATAATCGCTTAAGCTTGTATAAATGCATTAAAAATATCACTTTTTATTTGTCAAGTATTTTGTTTTTATTTTTCCTTAGCTCAAGTAGAAATTAAAGCACATCAGACTGTTACAGTTTTTTCGATGATCGACATGTTGGTTTATCACAGTACTTTTGATAAAAAGTAACTTTTTTCCTGTAGCCCTCTAGCGGAGATTTCAAAGGAGCTAGACCTAAAGTTCGAAATACTGAAGAAGCTGAACAATGGCAAAAGATGTTAAAGAAGGTTCAGAAATCATCTGAAAAAGAAACCCAGGAAAAAAGTGTTTATGATCCAAGAAAACCCGTAAAAGAATCTCAGGCAGAAGATATTTATAATTCAAAAAAATCGGGCACTGACCAGTCATATACAGAAGAACGTGAACACGAGCCGACAAGTGATGACGATGTTCGAGAATCTTCATGCCCCGAATTCTTTGGAGTAAGATCGTATTTGCATCATTTCTACGAGACCATGACGGTGAAAAACCCAGATCTTTACGAAGATTTTGATGAACATGATAATCGTTACTTGACTACTCCAGGAAAGAGGTGTCGCATGGGAGTTTACTGGAAGGCCACTCTTTGTATAGGCTTTCTCTTGCTTATCTGTGGTCTGATTCTTCTGTTTGTTGGCTACTATGTCCGCCAGAGAGACGTCGTTGTTGGATATAAAGCTGACCTAGAGATCATTGACCGTTCTTCGCTGGATTTTAACCGAAATCTCGACATCTGCAAAGTACTTGGATTACTGGTTTTCTGCTTAGGTGGTGCTATTCTATTGGCAGCTTTGTTACTACCTACTCTTGTCTCTAATTACTGCGATGATGACGACCAGGAGGCTTTCAAAGTCAAGGCTAATTTCGATGACCCTCAAGAATCTCCCACTGAGAAAAAAATTCCCGCTACGGAAGCATTGACCAGCGTTCAGCCAAAACGAGGAGAAGACCATATGGTTATTACAGAAGTCGGTTTATGTAAAGTGCCATAAGACACAACCAATCTTATAATCATTTTAATTAGTTGTAACAACAAAATTACCAAACAAAATTACTTTTTGATTGAAAATGATATCCCATTGAGTATATTTATATATATAAAAGCTTTGTTTTCCTTAAGAACGGTTATGGAATTGCTAAAGATAAAAAGGTAAAAGAACACATTTTCTCCAGTGAAATACTCGTATATGTTGATATTTTAACAAAAGTTAGGAAACATTTGTTTTACGGCAAGCTATTATTAAAGTTACATACGCTGTACCAACTTGAGCCACCTTATGAGGAAATACTTTTGAAATACAGTATAATGTGTGTATTCATTAGAAAGTCTGTTCGGCTCGTGAAACATAAACGGAAATATGACACGTTCATTAATCATTGCAGTAGAACTATAGAATGCATTGTGTTTTTTGTCACGATTTTAAACTCAAAGATTTACTTTTATAATTTTAGGGTTAACACAATATGACCTGGAATAAAATGCCTAAATTTAGCCCAAAGGCTCAGTGGACGACTGAAAATGATGTCGTCCAGTCGCTTGGCGTCAAGTATCATGATAACTCCAAAACAGTTTGGTTAAGAAGTATGCAATAGTTTATTTTGATGTTAATATTTAACAATATTTTGATGATAGCATGAAAGTTTTTTTCTATGTTCAGTGACACACATAAGAAACGTTCTTGTTTTTCCTTCGAGCTTGGTTTTCAGTTTTTATAATCTAACAATCCTATATTATGTTATACATTATAAATATTAGTTAAATTGGCCGATGAAAGGACCGTCTTTCAGCAGTTAGTGATCAATACATTCTAATATATTTTGTGGGATACTACTGCTGCAACAGAATTAAAATAAGTAGCGAAACTTAAATTATATTTTCAATAAAAAAAAATACGTTTTCTTATGTGGAAAAATAGAATGGTTTTTATGGCAGGTCCTGTGACTAGGTGGCTGATTGTTATGAATATTACTATAAAGTTTATTGTTGTTATTATATGGTTGCATGTAAAAACGTACGAATATATCTGTGTAAGATAAAACAGCTTAACTTGTTGGAGTGTAATGTTAGTTGTAAGTGCATGTTACTTCAAAAGAAATTAATTAAATACGAAAATTAGAATTATGAATTTGTGCATATATACATATAAGAATATATCGAAATTGTGTTTGAAAACTATTTCATTTTCTCCCCTGTACGTTGTAATAATATATGATATTATTAAAGAATTAACTGACTCAATCGTGTAATGTATCACTCATAATTTCCAGAGCTTATGGCTAATTTTTGATAATGTATATCTTTTTTATGCTTTTGATGGTTGTATTACCAGAAAAGAAAAACAGATCAGAAATTTTCGGAGAAACTACGACAGAGTTAATTTACGGTTTTGATGCCTTAGAAGACAAGCATTTTCCGATGCATAATAATTATTACACGATGAAAGAGTATGAAAAGGAGAAAGGCTTCTTTCATGTTCATGACATCATATAGTGACTTTAAGAGCCAATGATATTTAAGTTTTAAAGATAGACTTGTTTTATTTAAGAATAAACATGTGATTCACGCTAATAAGAAGTGGAAAGAAATGGGACGATACTATTTGTTACCTCAAACTAGGTGCGTCTTTAAGCCTCGTTCGTTTTCACTACAGATGTAAAATAGTTATGAGCGTTTATTTGAATCTACAGCTGATCATTACGTTCGAACGTCGTTGTGGTCTTGTGAACCAGCAGCACGCAATTTAAGATTGATTTTATTTTATCTTGAGTTCAAGAGTTAAATTTGTGATATCATAATGCACATGTACCGTTCAGTTTCATAACATGTTATGTTCTACTAAACATTTTTTTCACAAAGTACCGCAAAAAAACAACAACAACTCAAAACATTCAACTTGAAAATTTGTGTCTTGCAAGCATGCATAAAGTTTATTTTCTTACCACTACCAGTAGGCTCAAGGCTTCCATCCCAACTTATCTGTAATCCATTCCAAATTTTTTTTTTACAATGAATTAATATAGGTATTTTGTGTGAAATGTGTCAACATCTGACTGATAAACATTCAGATCCCAATTCTTATTGAAACAGTTCAAAAACCACTAACGATAAATAAGCCATATTGCTTTTGGAGCTATTCACCAATAACAACATCTTATGACTAAGAAATATTCTTATATGCCGAATTTTCAAATTGATTTTATATTTTAGATTTACTAATGATTTACGGAATTAACCAGAAATAAGAATTCGACCAGTTTTCAAGAAGTAAAGGTAATAATTATAACTGTTTAAAGCTTCAAAGTTCCACAATCTTGCGGAAAAGCTTGCTGAAGCTCCATTTCTCCCCATTTAACGGGTAACTTATCTCAAAATAATTTTTAATTATCATTTCAAGTTACCCTAGTTTCAGCTTTTTTTCTGACTGTACTTAAATTAAATCTTGAAAATACAAGTGAAATAATACACGGAGCCAAGATATAATGTAATTCTTTGACAATAACACAAATTGCAAAGCTTAAAATGACAATAAAAAAATATTAACAGTAGTTCAATCATAGGTTGAAAATGATTCTCTTACTCCTTTGAAATCTATCAAATAATATTATTTTCAAATTCTACTTGCTTTGAATTCTGATTAACTAAACCTCACACCAAGAATTTTCACTACAACTCGCAAATAATTTAACGATTTTCATAACGATCACTATTAGACTAGCGTTATCAGTTTGCAGCTCTGTACCAAACGGTGAGCTTAGCGACCAATCATGTAATAGGTACACATTCAATTCTATTTATATTATTGTGCAAAGATTTTAAGGCGGGATTTCATGAGCTAGGCTCAATACCGTTAGCGTAATTTTAATATCATACAGCCGAATGTATATTCTAGTTATATTGTAGAATATTTATAATAATATTTGATTGCATTTCATTGCAAATTGAACATGACATTATATTTTTGTTTCAAGTGATGCGATCCATAACCATATTACCTTCTTAATCATACATTTACACTACATAGATTTTGTGGAAAAAAAATATGTAAAAAAAATCTGGATTGACTTAAGAAGCAAGGTTGTAGACAAGTGGGTGCCTAGGAAGCACCCCAAAACTGTTTACAGTACGTTTGCCAACATTGTGATAAAACGCTTTTGTTTCTGATCCTAACTTTACGTAGTACATTTTAGGGAGGAAAGCACGACCAAAGTGAACACTTATCATTAGTCCTGAGAAATAGGTGTGCACCTAGTTTGTTCAGTCTTGATATATCTGTGTAGAATTCTGGGATCCCAAAAATAAAACACAGGTATTCGATCACCGTATTCGAGGATTTGGTTGGTAAAAGAAAATATGATTGATTTGACTTGTTGCCGGCAAAATGAGAAAGACTCACCCATACTAGCATTTTTACTGATTAACTGTGCCCTTCGAAGGGCTTATGCCCGAAACGTAGTTAAAAAGTTTGAATACGTAAGTTTTTATTCGTTTCAAAAACATTTCGGATACGTTTTCACGTCTTACGATAATACCTGCAGTGCGTCTGCACTGAAATAATTAACAAGATGAAAATATAATCAAATACCGGTCAGTGAATAAAGAACAATGGGCGAACAAGCAGCACAGTATAAGTCAGTCTTACCTTTCTCAAAATTAGAACGAATTTTTCGTAAAGGACCAAAACCACTCTCACATCAAAATTTTCTTTGTAGCTCACCAATCACAAACAGAAATGCAATAAATTGGAAGTATTTCTGCTCGATATGATAGTCGTAAAATAGCCTCACATTCTGGATGGTGTTCAGTACAATGCATCTGCCTCATGAAACAGCATATAACATCATTGATTGACTCATAGAGAGTAATATCTAGAGCTGAATTAGCACGTGACGTCGTCCAAATTCTTTAGGTTTAGAATTGGAACTCTGAAAAAAAAAGATATTTATAATACCATATTAAATATGTTCTATAAGAGAGGCACGTCCGCAGCTGCTGATATGAAATATTTAGGTCACCTCGGGTAATCAATTTTCACGTAAGTATACTGTTTTATAATGGTTTTTTACTGATCTCAGAAACTGTAAAACCCAAATTCAAAGATCTGTCGTAATAAAAAAATGTTTTATTTTAATTTTTTTTATATAATGACAAACATACGAAATTAACTCTAATGCGAAGAAGTGACGAACCAACAAGCTAGTTTACTTGTTCCACTATAAAAAAAATTTACTCATTTCGCGTCTCATATAATGTAGAAACCAAAAGACATTTTAACGGATTTCTTTGTTTACAGCATCGTTGAACAGTCAGACAAAACCAGTCCTGGTTATCTAACATGTAACTTTAGCTTCAGTAAATAGCATGAATACATCATCAGATATATGTTATACGAGGTGTTATGTTACATATACCACAATCAGCTTTAAACTCATATCTTATAGATGAAACTCAGCTGTTGTACTTAAATAAAACTAATGGATACTTATAAACTTTTACAGATAATGTATGAGCAATAATTGAAAACAACACTAATGAAAAGTTTGTCTCTCTCTCTCTCTCTCTTTTTAGACTTCCAAAAAGAAATAGCATTATATTTCAGATATTCAGTTGTGTTCCGATCAATCAGAAGTAACAGAAACACTACATAAGTACCATCTATGGAATTAACGGCAACTTTCCTTTTTTTTCTCTAAAGTTCTTACAGTCTATTATTTTTATATATTTATTCTTACTTTCTATAATCGGGATTCTTTATGTTCTATCTATTTTTCTTCTGCTTTTTTTATTCTACGAGTTCTCGAACCATTTCTCTTTCATGCAGCCTAGTGACTGGTTTGCCGAACTGTAGATCTGAAGGTTCAATGTTCCTGTTCCCTTTTCGCAACAAACAAACAAACAAAAACTAGAAGAAGCAAAGGAAGGACAAGAATTAAACCTTAAATTTGTTTCATATTTATTGTTTATTTTTTTTTTACAGATTAGTTGGGTTCCCTTTATAAGAACTTTATCAGCTTTCTCAGCAGTGGTTTTAAATGTTCTTAACTCACAACATTCGTTCTGATTATTATAAATACTTGTGACTGAAGGTGAAGAAGGAAGTATAGCAATATGTAAACCACGTTATATATGTTATATCCAGTGCCAACGAAGCCTTTCACCCCAATACCAGGGCTCATCAGACTGGCTGGGATTTTACAAACATGTTGTTTTTCGTGCAATTTGATAATATAAAAAGCATCTCAACAATTCCTTGTTATGGTGTGAACTAGATTAAGTTGGTGAAGCACAAAAAGAGAAAGGATACCACTGCTTAAATCCAACAGTTTTCATTTAACATAAAAACAAACACAACACAATACAAAGCAATACAAAAACAATGTTCGCAAAAATTCGTTAAGATTAGTGTTTTAGTGAGTTCATCTAACAGTTGCGCGTAAAATAAACTTTTTCACTCATTGAAATAAGATGTAAAAATATATAAAAGTTTTTTTTAATTATCAATCAATGTGACATTTATTTATTCGTTTTGGAGCAAAATCACATTGGGCTACCTGATGTATCCACCTAGGGGTATCGAAGCCAGGATTTTAGCGTTGCAAGTCTGTAAACTTACCGCTATCCCACCAGGGGGCTCTTAAATTTGATATTTGAAAACTCATAAATAAGTCAATGTATCTTTGTTTCACTTCCTTAAATCTATATGAAATTATTTACAAAGTAGAACTTAGAAATTAAAATATCTCTACCAAAATTGTTTGATTTGCTAATACCGTTACGTTAAAAGCAATAAAAAGGACAACGAAAATATTTTTTATCTTGTGACTGTTGACTAGAAAGACAAAGAAGAATTGTTAGCGAATTTAACAAATAAGTCATTAATCAAATTAACATAATTTTAACATTAATAGTAATAGATTAAAAACGGACTTTCAATAATTAGCTAAACAATACACAAAAGGTGCTTTCTTTGTTACTAGGGGCGCTTTTTATGAAAGCAGTGAAATAATACATTTAAAATTTGTTGAGCATATTTTGTTTTATTGCGTTTATGTTTGTTTTGAAATTTAGCACAAAGCTACACAATGGGCT